ATTATTCTTGCAGTCTATATTATGTGTAGTTATATGATATATTATTAATCATAATAACATGGTCGGTGGTGTTATTGTACAATCACACGTGGATATAAGAAGCCTTTTATCAACTAGTCAAATGTCACAACTGCCATATGATATTTTTTTTTCTTCTGCAGAGTTTGGAAGCTCCAACAAGTGTAAGAACTGCTAATGGCAATTACTTAGAATAATAAATTATTTATCAGTATAAATGGAGAAACAATCAAGAATCTCTAATACATGAGTTGACCAATTATGTTAATCATTATGTATAAACATACGAGCTGTATGATATTGATATTACTAGGCAGGCATCGCGTATCGAAGTGATACATCTCAAAGCGCATGGACTTTTGCATGGCACGAATTCATCTAGCAACCATTACTGCTAGGATTGCCTTTTGGTAAAGGACGCACCAGATATAATTTCTCGCCTTGCTTGTTGGTATAAATAGGTGCTCGTTGATAATGATCTACCAACTGATCTAATGTGTGGAACTTTCTCTGGCCAATGCAATACAATGCTCCTTCTACATGTACCCTAAAATGCTTATTACGTCCTGGAGCTTTTAAGGATACAGAATAATCTCCCATCTAAAACACAAGTGAATAGCAATTATTTTCAACACTTTTTTTATATTCATTATTGTAAAAAATGATCATAAGGTTTTATATTTACATTAGTTTCACTATCTCTGATTAAGAAGTCACCATCGTGACCATGCTGATTGAGCAAAGTATCACACTGCGATCTTGTAATATTGCCATAATACCAAGGTTTTCCAACAAGATGTGGTCTATCGCCTGGATCAGGTCTTCGTTCGAGAGAATCATTTGCACTAATTTCATTACTCGTTACGCCACGATCGCGGTATGGTTGTGTTAGATATTCACTGAGTTCTTGAAGATAATTACGTGGTACAAGGCCAATTTGCCCTTGACTATTCCTTGCTTTGTACCACTCAGGATCTGCTGGAGGACGATCGAGAATCTCCAAGCGATCACCTTTTTCAAAAGATAGCTCTTGATCATTGTTTGAAGAAAATGAATATAATGCAACTACAATATCAAGAACATTTTCTGCCATAGCATATGTATGAAGAGTATCATCAGCGTCTCCTTCTTCTTGAGTATAATTAGATGGGAACCACCCAGCCTGAGTACCACTTTGACCTCTCCACCAGCCATCATTGCTTTTCTCAAGTATTAGAATTCTGGTGCCTTTGACAAGTGATAATTCATCTGTTTGCTGCGCTTGATAGTTATATTTAACAACAGCAGTACCTATTGCCTCGCTTGGATCAGCTGGTAAGCGTCTAGCCATAATTGGTGACTCTACAGCACGAGAAGGTGAATTACTAGATGGTAATGTTTTAGAACCAGAGCCCTTTTTAACTTTCTTCTTAATACTGTCAAAAAGGGATGGTTTTTCTTTTTTAACATAGTTGCTTGGCACATAACCAGCTTGTCCTCTAGCACTTTGTACTCTCCACCAGTGCTTGGAATCATCGAGCAATAAGTAGCGCTCGTTTTTACGCAGATCCAATTCTTGAGCTCCTTGTGCTCCATAGTCGTACTTGGCGACAACGTAACACACGTCGTCTTGACTTGTTTTGCCTAAAATGTATTATGAAAATTATTTTAATATAAACTTATTAAATAAAAGTATAATAAAAATTTGCCTTTACAAAATAAAATAAAATCTGTTTTTACAAAATTTATCAAATATTACTAGAACTTACTTAGGATAATGTAGTAAAAATAAAGCCATGTACTATACTAATAATAAATTCGATTTTTAGCAAAAAATAAAAGACTAGAATCAAATATATCGATAAACAAGATTATTATCAATATAATTCTTATGTAAATTAAACATTATGATCAAATAATACACATTTTTATTCAAATATATTTACATAAAATCTTTCCTAATATAAAGCAACAAAAAATAAATGTACAAATAAAGCAATGCATACAAGAATGAAAACGTACCATGCTTCATGGCTGCCATGTGCGAAAAGGGGAGAAGGTATGTATATAAAGTGTGTATATGTGTATTAAACTGTGCTATGAGTAGCTGCTACAGATGTACTATTCGAATTGTTTGTAATTCTGCTTGTACTATGTTGGTGACGTATGTGCAGCAGGCATTCATTCCTCAGCTTTTTTGTTTATTGATGGTAAACTTGGTGATCTCTTTGTTCAGACTCCATCGTTCTTGCGGGTAGGGCAAGCAAGCGCATTACCACACTTTGAAGGAAATAAAATAACAATTATTATCTTGAAATTACAAATAAGAAATTACAAAAATTATAATTTTTATTAATGAAAATATAACTTTCACTTAGAGATACGACTTATATAATACATACGATTTGCTTATTAAATATATATATTTTATTTATTATAAAGCATGCGTCTATAGCAATGAATTATATTTTATATATATATTACAAAGATTTACAATGTTTTGCAGTAATATCAATTAAGATAGAAATAATTTAAGATGCTTTCATATATACATATAATTTCTTATGACTTTCCAAGTATATTTATATTTTAATTGCAATAAATAAAATTTACTCTGAAGATAAAAGATTTATTACGTGCATAGACAAGGCAATATTGTACAACTAAATTTCTAAAAATGAAATTAATATGTTGATATAATAAGCACATTTCTAAATTTGATAATAGAAACATTGATTATATTATAAATTATAAATATATACTATAAAAATGTATCTGATTCAAACATGTACATTAAAATTTTTTTAGGAAGGATAACCAATTTATCATAAAATAAATGTTGGGTAGTTAAATAAAATGAATTTATACATATCTAAGGTTTGAAAATGCACACAGTACACACAAAAATTTACAGTATGTAATTCATAATATTTAAATCGTTTATTTATTAAAAAATGGTATACATTTTAATTAAAATAAAATTTAAATTAAAAGAGAAGAAATACGAAAAATAAGTTTGTACTAACTGTTTCAACAGAGGTCGACAGGTGCAAAATTATTGAAGCATAATGAAAATTTTGTGTGTATGTATATGTATGATGTATGTATGTACGTATGTATGTATGTATGTATGTATGTATGTATGTATGTATGTATGTATGTATGTATGTATATATATATGTATATATGTATGTATGTATGTAAGTATGTATGTATGTATGTATGTATATACATGTATATATAACCATAATTCTTATAAATAATAAATTACGAAAGGATTTCACAATATACAAAATAACGTTAATTCGCGTAAAATTGTCTACATCGTGAAAAATCGTTAAATCATCATAACTCTTTTCGTGCGATTTCATCGACTTACCGATTTTTAAACTTGACATATTCCTGCATACAGATCCTAAAATCGACGTTTGTTACACGGATTGTTTTCCCCCACTTCGGCCCACAGCCATGAACAAGAACGAAATACAGCGTATGTAGGATTAAACTTTAGGGAAAGAGAAAAAGGGAGGGAGAGGGGTCGTCGAATAGGATGACGAGGGTACAAGGAATCAGGGAATGATTCCGAGGACCGTACAAAACTCCATCCACTGAACGATGTTGATCGTTACTGTTTTTCTACGAACACCGCACCGCATAGGAGGGCTACAACTTTTTCTGTTGAACCATAGAACCTTCTTCTGTGGTTAGAACCTTATACCTTACCGATGGTAGACACGAATATCTAATGCTTTACCGATTCCTCCGCTTCAATTAGTTTATGCGGCCCCTCCCGCAAAAAAAGGACAGACCCACCCTCGGTACAGAAACACCAAATCTATGTTCGGGTAGCCGAGATTGACTCTCAATCCTCTATTGACAAATGCGACAGTAGCGCCACACGATGGTTCTTATTTTTACTACTAACATTCTATATAGAGGGCGACCGAATTGCATCGAATTAATGAACTATGATTGGATAAACTCTGTTCATGTCTGATAATGTTTAACCAATAACGACAATTTATTTTATGTGACTATTTTTAAGATTCTAAAATATTCTTTTAATATTTTATATCGTTTTACGCGAAATAGATATATATTATTTCCAGAAATTATTTATATAAATACATATATAATATTTATATCAGTAAACTACTAAATTAAATCAAAAATAATTTAAATCTGATACTCTTTGTGCGCTAATTTGAATCAATTATGTGATTCATTTATATAAATGCGTACTTTGTTCGATTGTGCGGTTATGTTGTGTGTAGTTCACTTATTCGTGCTATTGTAATTAGTGAACAACACGTGCGTTCATTGTGTATTGTGAGCTATTTAAAATATAAACAAATTTAATATGCCACAAGGAAAATTAAAAGTTAAAACAAAACTTCCGCCATCGGCTAAGACAAAAGCGAACAAACAAAAGAAGAGACCTACAATACGACGTCGCGGAAGTAAGTTCAGAATTGTTAAGATTTATTCGAACAATAATAATGTAATTCTTTTGCAATATGTGATTATTTAGTAATATATTAATTTTTTTTATAAAAAATAATACGTAGTTTAGAACATGTTAATTTTTTTTTATTAAGATGCACCTATTCAACCTAAAAACGCAAAATTTAAAGAAGTACATAAATTGAAGAAGATAATTACTAAGACTGTGAATAATGCTATAGAAGATGAGCTTAGAGAAAGGGCTTTGGAAGGGAAGAAATCTCTTACAAAAAAGGATAAACAAATTAAGCAGAAAACTTAATTATTACTCGCATATTACATGTAGTATCAAAATCGTGATTACAAGTTCATTTAATGTAATCAATGACTTAATTTAACATTTTATCATCATGCTTTGAATTGTGGTTCAATATAAACTTGTATATAAAAAATAGATTGATATAGTTTAAACGTTTTACTGTTATGATAACAGATTGATAAGAACAATAATGTACATGGAAATATCATATAATTATCAATAAATATTTTTTTAATAGCAATTTAAAAATATAATTGTTTTTGATTTATTAATTACGCAAGATGTCTTTAATATATATTTTTTAATTTTAGGAAATATGAGGTTTATTCAGGGATTTATGCATAAACTCATATATATTATATATTATCTCTTTTAATCCAAATACTATTGAGAAGCAATCTGTAACAAATAAATGATATAGATTATTTTATATATTAATTTAATATACATTCTTTTTTTATATATTATATAAAGTACAATTTACCACTAAGAGATGACCACTTTCTTGGTTTTTAATAATCGCTGGTGCATTTCCCATCTTGAATTCAATAACACCTTCTTTACCATTTATTAACTTATGAAAAGTTCTATAAAAAATTTATAAACATTATTTTTTATTTTTTAGTATATGCACAAATACAAATGTATTTATACTTTTTTGATATACTTACGTATCAGCATTAATTATTTTTAACATCTTTTGATTATTTGTAATATTAATTATTTTTGTTACTGTTTCTATTATAAATGATACTTCTAATATTAGATCCCCCTGTATTAAATGAGTCAAAATACATTAGTGATATATATTTTGTAACAAATATTACGTACTTCTATTTCTTAATACATTGCGAACTAGTAGTTTTATTGCTAGCTTTATCCAGTGACCAGCTATGTTATATATATATGTATATAAAATTAAATTTTTTCCATCTAATGATATAACAAACCTTGTCTTTTTTAAGATTAGGTGATATTCGCAAAATTAAAAGATTATCTGATTCTCCGGTAACGACAAGTTCATCTATATGTTCATAAGGTAATCGATGTTTTAGTTTTAATGTTTTTTTTATGTTTAGTATATATACTGCTTGTTTAGTTAACAATAAAATTCTATCTCGAGTTTTATATCCATGTCGATCATATTTAATTACTGGAGCTATATACTTAAAAAAAAAATATATTCTTTATTAAGTGAATGTTATTTAATAAATAAAAGTATTAGTATTTATATTATTTCATACCTCAATTTTTTCATTAGTTGTAAGAATCGAATTAGTAATATTTTTAATTAATGCTTTCTGTTCTTCATTTAGCCGGTTAATTCGAAATTTTGGACCTATACTCATTGGATATGACTTTTTCTTATTCTTAAATAGAATTTCAGCAAGAACTTTTAATTCAAATTGTGTTTTTTCCTTTTGTGTTAAGGCTAACCTATAGTTTCGTGCCATCCACCTTTTATGCATTACTTTTAGATATTTTGAAGCCTAATATATAATTAGTAAGTTAAGATTATAATTATTAGTTTACTTGTTTGTGACCCTATACAGAATACTTACTTCTTGACAAGATGATGGACATGGTGGCCATTCAGGATTTAAAAAACTTTCAGGAAGATTCATGGAAAGTTTGAGAAGCCATTGTGATTTTGCCAATTCTTTAAAAATCATATTTTCTACAGTTGGTGGACCATTCCTTGTAATAAACCCTTTAATAAATCTATTCAAATTATATAATTAAATATTTATGACAGGTATGTAAGTTTTTAATATAATTTAATTTATGATTTTAGCTAATTACTTGCGTATAGAAATTACAGCTTGACGTCTTTTTTTTGCTTCACGCTGTGCAAGCCATCTACGAATATATTTTTGTAATACTATTATATTTTCTCTTATTTTTAAAAATTTTCGTCGAGTAAGTATAGATCTCCATTTATTTTGAATTATTGTAGCAATTTCATGTTTCTTTATTTGAAATGCATCTTCTGTTTCAAATAATGTCTTAGGGAATCTTATAAACAACTTTGTACTAAAATGTGTAGAAGAACATTAAAACATGTACATAAAAAATATAATATGTAAAAATATAAAGCAATATGATTTTTCTTACTTGCCCATTCTATATTCATCAGGTTCATATTTTAGATAATAGACAAGCACTTGTACTCCTTCTTTAGCTGGGCCACGGTAATGTGGCCAAGTCTCTGGACAGAGGGACTTATAACGATCTAAGAATTGTGCATATAATTTTCTATAAGCAAAACCAGCACGTCTCACTCGTAAATTTTCCATTAAACCGAGATATTTAACTTGATGTAATACAATCTTATCGTCAAATCGACCTATCATAAAAAAAGTGAATATAATAGACAAATAAAAAGTGAATGTAATGGACGCGCGCGCGTGCATGCGTGTATTATTATTATTTTACATACTAGGCAATTTGAAATCATTAGGTTTGATGCATCTGATATAAGAAGGTTCTTTGCCTATTAATATTTCCATGAGATTATTTAAACTATTCTTAAATTGAGTTATAGCAGTTTCTGGTCGTTTTCTACTAATTACATTTTTCAAGTTAAATGTAGCCTGAAATATATATAATTATTGTATAGTAATTATTGTATACTTGTATACTATAATTATTGTATATCATTCAAATAGAATATTTTTCTGGAGTAAATTTCAATATATTTGGAATACATACAAACCTTTGTGATTATATTTTTTGTTTGAGACATTACTTCACGTAAATCTCTAAATAATAAATCATTATTTTTTTCAAGGAATCCACGTACATTATATGTTACTTCTCCAGCATAATGTATTAAACGAAATTCCTAAAAAAATGGTAAAATATTTTGAACTATTACATTTTGTAGTAAAAATAAAAAATAATTCAATTACTATCTTCATACATCTCGACCCATTATCTTCTGTGTCTTAATGTCTGCTTTTATGTGACTTATATAGTGTGGATGGCTATGTAAACGTTTATTTAATTTTTCAAGAAAACTTATATCTGTTGGATCCCCTGGACGTAAACATTCTTCATCCAAGAAAGCTATTATTCCTAAAATCATGTCAATAATGGAATAAGTAATCCAAAGTAAATATGTAGGTATTGTAACAAATATTAAACAGATAATACCTTTATGTGTTTCCTCTATTAAATCACATATAACTTTGTTATTAAAGTATTGAATGTTTTCCCAAGTAATACCTTCTCTCAAATATTCTTCTTGCTCTGATTTTAAAGTGAGTTGTATAAATAATTGTTGTAGTTTTTCATTGCAAAAATTGATGCAAAATTGTTCAAAACTACATAAAAAAAATTTAAATATAGAGTATTAAATAATATTGTTTATTGTTTACAAATATGGAAATGAATTAATTAATTTCTATCTGTTGTCTATACACCTGTTTTTTTGAAAAATTTCAAATCCATAAATATCAAGTATTCCTATGACCACATAATTTTTTAGATTCATAGGTCGTTGTAATGATTTATTTAATCTATTGATGAGCCATGTAAATAATCTATCATACATAGCTTTTGCCAATGCATCTCGAGCATATATTGCTAATTCTCTATTTAATGGAGAGATTACAATGTCACCTTGTGCATCTATAGTACGATGAGTTAAAGCCTTGATCAAATTGTTTACACTGCAACCTAATAACTATTTGGCAAAAATGTGTAATATCTCTAATACCCATAGTAACAATTATATATTTATTATTACATACTTACACTACAAATTGTATTGATAGAGTTAAAGTGTAATATCTTTGCAAGTCCATTTTCTTCTGTAAAACCAATGTTTCCCAGATGTAACACGGATGCAACTATGGCAAATAAGCAATTTTGTTCTTCATCTGTTATTTCCATAGTTTGTAAAGCTTTTATTACTTCATTGTACTGATTGATATCATCGATAGTATTCACAGAATCTTTTGTCTATGTTTTGATAACAAAGTGGAATATTATCAAAATTACAAATAAATCTTTTTAAATATAAGTATGTATAAAAATTTGCATACCCCATTACTTAAATAAACGTAAGCGTCCAAGTTACGTTGGAGAGAAAGTTTGTTAAGAGTTTCTTCATCAGCTCCAGTCAAAAGTTGATAAAATATATGAAAATTACGTTCACCTGGGAATTGATGTACCACACGTGATTTCTCTAAAAGATAATTTAAAATATTTCCACCGATTGGATCTCCCTAAAATTCGTCAAAATCATTCGATAATTTCTTTAAAACTTTTTTAATTTTTAAAAAAATTATGTCAATATTTCAATATACATATTTGCTAAACTGCATATCCATGTATTTGCCAAAACGTGATGAATTATCGTTACGATTGGTTTTCGCATTACCAAATGCCTCAAGTACCGGATTACTACCGATTAATTTCTTATTCACTTCTTCTACCTCCTTTTTATATCCAGTTCCGATGGCTATAAATTCCAATATTTTCTTCGATGCTTCTGTTTTTCCAGAACCAGATTCACCTATATAAAAAATTATTAATTTAATATTTAATATTCGTATTATATCACAGATTATTCAAGTTTATTAAAGTTACGAAAGAAATATTAATACCTGAAATGAGAATGCATTGATCATGATTCTCTTGAATTAGAGATTGATAAGCAGTATCAGTTAATGCAAAACTGTAAAGAAAAATATTAGAAACTACAAGTAATTTTATATTTTTTAACGCTAATTATTATATTTAATTAACGCTTAATTAATTCTTACATATGCGGTGGGGCTTCAAAAAAATGTCTTTTATGGTAATATTGTATAGAGTCAGTATCATAAATAGGGAGCTTTTTATAAGGATTAACAGAAACCAATACTTGTCCGATGTACGTCTAAAAAAACAAAAATCAATTTTTATAATAACAAAATATTTTTAATTTTTCATCTTTTTTAAATTTAATTTGAAATATTTTTTTTTTAATTTACTATAATATACATATATCAAGTTGAATTTGTGAAAGATAGAGAGAGATTGAGAGAGACTTACATAGATAAGATCTTCCTTAAATCTTTTGCGAAGATTATCAATAAATGCAGATTCACTTTGAAAGTCCTCGAGAAGAATAAAATCTTGAAGACCAACGCGATCACGATCATGTAATCCTCGTTCCATCATTTTTGATATTGTCCAATTTGTTCTAAGCATGGCTGATTTTTTATCATAAATTGACGTGCCCATAGTGTTTTTTTTTCTAATAAAATATTATTTTTCTATTAAAATTTTAATAATTTAATTCATTTAAAAAAAATTCGAATACTCGAACGTAATATAGTAAATAATATAGTAAAATTAAAAACAATATAAATCAGATTTCATGGAATAATTATATATATATGTATATGTATATATATATATATGTATATGTATATATATATATATATGTATATGTATATATATATATATGTATATGTATATATATATATATATGTATATGTATATATATATATATGTATATGTATATATATATATATATATATATGTATATGTATATATATATATATATGTATATGTATATATATATATAATATTATTACATAATATACATATGTATATGTATATATATATATATATGTATATGTATATATATATATGTATATGTATATATATATATGTATATGTATATATATATATAATATTATTACATAATATACATATGTATATGTATATATATATATATATATATATATATATATATATATATATACATATGTATATGTATATATATATATATATATATATATATAAGTTTATTCATATACCACAACAATTATTTAATTTATTTTATAAAGAATATATAGTAAATCGATCTATTGAAGCACATGAGCTTTTGTTCGACCTCGTGAAATTACGAGCGATAATGTTACCGATTAGATATCGTTACAACTAAAAGAAAACTCCGATACTGTTAATAGCTTCTTTGTAAAAATCGATTAGATAATATCGTTAAATCAACAATATTTCATGTTAATATATTGAAAAGATATCTCGTTATAAAACACAAATTTCATTATTTCTATATTTTCTCTCCAATATTTAATTATACAGAAATCAAGATACATAGTAAAAAAAAAATTATAAAGTAAAAAAATTATAGTTTACCGAATTTTTCAATAAGAAATTTTCTTAATTTACTTTCGTTATTTTTTTATCGCAATTTTGCTTCGATTAATCCCAGTATACAAAATCTAAGTAATTTCTTAAATACCACATATAGAATAACAAGCGTGAATATACTATTAGTTTTCTGTATAGTTGGCAATTGTCATACGTACTGTGTATATGCGTTATTGCACTAAGTTTAATGTCGGCTTCGAATAGATAAGATAGAGAAATACGTGGCCGCTCACCTTTGAGAGTGAAACTTTCGATCGATATTTGTCAACTTTAATAATCGGTTTCGTATTACTTTGATATTGACTTGCATATAATCAAAACATTTACAAACATTACATGTTTAATAAAAAATCTATAAAGAAAATCATTGAGATACCTCTCCGATAAATTTTTCAAATATGAAGTTAAAAAGAAGAAAAAAATTCATAAAAGAACAGTTTACTTTTGCATTTTTTTTAATTCATGATTTGAATTTGTTTATTATTTATCGTATCAGTGTATTGTTAAATTGTAACGAACCTTTCTATTCAATGATAATCCTTGCTGATCCAAATACTTGCAACCGTTTCTTAAGATTAACTTCTGAACTATAACAACAGAACGATGCACATCTTTCGTTCATCGTGAGACTTATCTCATCCCCTCTCTCTTCCCCCCTCGATTTTTTCACCCTGGCAACAAGAGACGTTGATTTTTCCTACATCCTACCGCATATATCGTTGTAAACAACAGTGCTAATTTATTTATGATTCATTTATTGTTATACCGATCCTCCAACGCTAACTTTGCATAACTCGAATGAAAGACGATTTAAATTACGAGACGATTGATTCTTAACGGAGTATCAATCGATCTACAAAATCGCAACTGCGATTATCGAAAATAACGACTTTTCTTTTGAGCTTTCTCATTTAAGTAACTACATTCAAATTTATACTTCGACGTCATATGAGTGATACTTTTTTTATTTTTGAAATATTTGAAGTAACGAATTAATTGTAACTTTCTATATTATCGTAAAAATGGTATTATATATATTTTTTTATGCGGGCACAAGTTTGATTACAAAATTATCGGCAATTGTAAACTACTTCGCAACATAATTAATTCGAGAGACATAATATTCGTGTTTTAAAATAATGTTTTTCTTTTCTTTCTCCCATAAAAGATCACGATAATTGTTTTTAAAGTTAATTATGCGTTACAATCAAATTAGAATTTTTTTATTTGATTATCTTATAATTTTACTTCTCTCAGTATTATTGATTTCAGGAAACGAGGGTATATATATTGAAAAATTTATGAATAAAAATTAACAATGATAATTAACACAAATGATCTAAAGATCATATCCTTTTTTATATTTTTTAGTATATAATATCGAAGAAGTGGATTTATCCAAATGTAAACTTACACAGCTCGGAACAGAATACCGAGGTTCAAAGATGGTAACTAGTAATAATATTCGTTGTCAATATTGGCAAACAGATCAGCCATTGCACAAGGTTATTTTATGTTTGGTCTTATTAATAACTATTGATTATCAATATATGATATAAAATAGAATTAATTTTATATTATTTCTGATCAATATGGTATTACCATAGATCTTTAATCAGTACTGCAGTAATTAATAATGAGAATGAATTCTAAAAAATGATGTTTAATAATATCATTTAATAATATTTAATATAAAGTGTTGTTTAATAATAAAATAATTTTTTATTATTTTATTTTATTCAATGTATATTTTATTTTATTCAGTATATTAAATATGATGAAAATATTCAAATAATTAGTAAGAAAATAAGCTAGTCAAAACAAACTTTATATGTGCACGTCTCTTTTTTATTATTTAATATTAATTAATATTAAATTTAATTTTTGCCTTTATGTCGATATAATATTCATATATCAGGTTAACCCTAATATCACGGATGCAGATTTCCCAGAAAAATCGATGAAAGCTGCGAAAAATTATTGTCGAAATCCCACTAAAGATCCTCGAGGTCCTTGGTGTTATACGTTAGATCCTACTCTTATAGATGATGAATGTGATGTGCCGCTTTGTAATTTTGGTGGTAAGTATTGTTAGTGGTAATAATTTTAGCGCATTTTTAAATATAACACAAATATTTAATATTTATTTTGTATTAAGTATTTTGATATAATTAAATAATATTTATAATAACAATTATAAAAATTCTTGCGCATATCATCGAAGGGTCAGCGATAAAAAAGTAAAAAAAAATAGCGGGAAAACAAAAATTTTGAACGTAACCGAATTGATATTCCATTTTAATATAATAAATATAATAATTTATTTAATTGTCATGGAATATTATGTAGAATAAAATGTATGTATATAAACAAATAATTGGAACAAAATAATATCTGATCTTTGCTTATTTGTATGAATTGATCTAAGATTGCAGAATTTCTGGTATAGGGGCTGAATATGCTGGAGATCGTAAAATTAGTTCTTCGGGTAAAAAGTGTAAATCATGGGCAGGGCGATATAAAGTTTCTAATGATAAGGTACAATAATTTAACCTCATGTAATACAGATTAAAATATATGATTAAAAATATACTTTTTAGAGTCCAGCATACGCTAGAAAAAACTTTCCAGATGCGTCATTGAAGAAAGCTAATCGTTTTTGTAGAAATCCTGATGATAATATTGGTGGTCCATGGTGTTATGTACATGATGAAGCTTATGAAACAATTGAAAAAGAATATTGTGATATACCATTTTGTGATGACAAGGGTAAATCATTTAATCGAAAATAAAATAATATTATTATAGTATTAATTGTGGAGGGTTGATATAACCATCATTATATGATATTATATAACATAAATCTGAATTGTGTTTTAGACTGTTTAGTATACGTCAGAAATACATCAAGATATTCTATTTTGACAGCTTTAAACTCTACATTTGCTAGCATTAAATTCTGGATTAAATTATGGAATCCAAATGATGAATATAATGTATGTGATAATATGTGCGCGTGTGTGTGTAAAATAATAGATGTATTTTATATTTGGAACTTATTTATTTCATTGTTGTTTAGGGAGAATTTAAAATTTTATTAAGTCTTCTTCCAATTCCTACATTTGCAAGTAAAATTGCTGAAGATTGGCATGTAGGTGTTGAGTTAATGTTTTCAAATTTTGGTACTGGTCAAACATATCCTGATATTGATGTTTGTATTATCTTTGTTGTATTATACTATTGTGTATATATGTGTGTGTGCATGTGTAAGTTAGTTTTTTTTATAGATGGATGATTTTGAAAATACACCAAACATCTTACTTGGTACAAAATGGACTGGTATATGGATTACATGGGCAGGAGGTTTCATATCAATAGGAATGTATGGTACATCTAAACCTTTCTTTATTGGGGAGTATAAAAAAAAAGATACTATCTCAGGTCTTTATTACGATTTTTTGTTATATTATGGGATCATGGGTACAAATGTCCTTTGGAGTACAGAATCCTGTCAAAGTGGTGTGTAGATCAAAATAATATTAAAATTGTATATATTTATAAATTGCTATTTTTAATATATCTTTGCAGATTGTGAAATTCATGTAACTGTTGGAACAGAATTCACAAACGTTTGGCCAATGCAAAAATCTAATAATACCTATGACATTCATTTTTATGTGCGAGCAAATCGCAATATTGCTATACGAATGTATCAAAATCCTGTTAATATTTATCCATGTTTTACTGTAAGTAATTACTTTTATATGTAAAATATTTTTAAGTAAACATTATATAAAAAATTAAGGAATATGAATATTTTAGATAATTATTGATAATGTTACATCATTAATATATCAAAAAAACAAATTTTCAATGAAGCAATATTTGAAACAAGTTTCAAGTAAAGGATTATTAAATTTTTGGAAGTGGAAAAAATTTACTATTAGGTAATAACACTTCGCTAATAAGAAATGAAGAAAGTGAAGTTAATAAAATTAATAAGCTTTGTCATAAATGTAGTATTTTAGGTCCGCATTTACGGCTATTTTATGAACAAACATATGGCGATGAAGAATTTTTATATGTACATTATGATCTTTTTGATACGTTAAGATGGTTCAGTATAGGAACTGAATATAATGTAGCTTATTGGACACTTTTTTGTATACCAGATGGTATTATATACTATTAAATTTAAGTTTAGCATTCATTTTAAGTTAAAAATATTTAATTTTTAAAATATTTAAAAACCACATACATTATAGAAGAAATACATACTATAGAAGATCCATGGCCACCTAACTGTATATCAGATCTTATGGATTATGGTTATAAAGGTGATCAATGGTTCAGTATAAATGAGATACCTTGTATACCATGGATTTCAAAAGAAGTATGGAATATATTTAATAAACACACTATTTATGTGATATCTATTTTATTATTTATAATGTCCAAATCTATAACTTAGACTATATTCTACATGTTGTGATAGATACCAGAAGAAGACAAAATTGATAGTAAGTTTATTGATGGCTCTGCTTTAAAAGCACTTAACAAATGCAGGAATCCCAGTCATAGTTCACATGGTCCTTATTGTTATATAATGACTGATCTAAATACTTCAAACATATCAAAGCAATATTGTCCAGTACGAAAATGCCTATCTTCAGGTAATTATATTATGACTTATTAACAGTGACATAATATAATTTATTTTTCTTTATATCTATTTATGATCTCTTTATTTAATAGAATGCAAAATGGCTGGTACAGCAAATGATTATATAGGAACTTTATCAACAACACGTTCAGGTAGAACTTGTGCTAAATGGATAGCTGATTTCGATCTTGTGGAAACGAAAGTATATGCACCTGAGACTACCACACAAGGACTTATAGAATTACCAAGACGATATATGACACAAGAAGAGCTACTTTTGAGAATGTTTCCGCAAAGAAGACCTAAACTTATCAAAGTTTTAAGACCAAAAGATTCAATTAATCGAACATTGTTCAATGACAATTTGTATGCAGAACATAGTGCAAAAAATGCTAGTAATTATTGCAGGAATCCATCTCGTAATATCGCCGGCACATGGTGTTATACAACAGATCCTCTTGTACCGCAAGATCTCTGTGATGTCAGAGATTGCGAAATGCTAGGTGATACAACAGAAAATAAGTGTAATTTTTGATAAGAATATTTTTATATTTTCTGAAATTGTACTTATTTTTATTTTTATTATTATTTATATAGAAGAATGTATATTCCTTATTCATGGACATGGTATTGGTAGACGATTATACGTTTTTCCTGAATATCGTTCTGAGGGTCTACATTTTTCTCTGAAAGCTTGGGAACCTGATCAATTAGATTCTATAACAATTGTTTTCACTGCAGATGATGGTTTTAAATCACGATATATTCTTAAAATTGGTGCTTTAGATAATGAAAAAATACTCCTATATTATCAGTCTGAAAGCCAAGGTAATCTTTTAATTGTTTATCAGAATTATATTCAGAGTTCTTAAAAATTTTTAAATTGTGCTAAATACATAGGTATCATTTCTATAATTTATATTAAACAAAATTTATTTAGCTATAAACTTAGTTAAAAAGAAAACATTGCCACATTTATTGTATTTTGGAAAATGGAGCAATTTTGTTATTCGTATACCACGAGGAAGTATTTTACTTTATTATGAAGGATCATCAAATCCTTTATTTGAATGGAAACATTCAAAACCATCACAAGTATTTTCGCCTGTTTATTATTATTATAATAGTGAACAAAAACATGCTGTAGGCGTTGCTTTTGATTGTAATTCCAGTTGGTATAGTTTGTAACATTTATTGTATTAGATTAATTAATTTATTATTATTGTACTGATTGTTATTGCTTTAAAGGATGTCAGATAGAAAAAACAGAAACTAATGAACATACAAGAATATTACCGTTTTCTATATGGAATAAACAAAAAATGTCAAATATTAATACATTAACACTTATGATACGTGCAAAAGGTGTTGTTACACTTCCATTGTTTTTGTTTCCTGCAACATCTAGGTAAAAATAAAACAAAATTATTACCTTTGAAATTATAAATTATATTGTTTAACTATGTTATAATATAGCTATTACTCCTTATCTCTCTTTGAGTCTGGACCATGGATATTCTTTCAAAAGAACAATTATCCCATTGTCAAAATATTTCATAAGCAATTAATTTCAAGTGCATTATTTACAACAAATTCATGGACAAATATAACTATAAGGTAAATATACAAAAATAATGAAATTTTCAAATATCTTAATTCTATTTTATTTATAATTATAGATGGTTAAAGAATATTATTGAATTATTGTGTAATGATACATTGGTATTTCATTATGAACATAGCAACCCTCTGCTTTTTTATTTTTTCTCAGTCACTGTTAATAACAATGGATGGGCTATTTGGTCTGCAAATTGTGTACCAACTGGTTATTTATATTATATAAATAAATAATATAAAATAAGAAAAGAAACAAGAAAATATTTTTTCAATTGAATATAGATATAGATGGACCTGCTATTGATGGTGGTTGGTCTGAATGGGGTCCATGGTCATGTAGTGCTAGTTGTAATGGCGGTGTTGGAACAAGAACACGTTTATGCAATTCTCCAGAACCTAATATTAGAGGAGAACCATGTATTGGTCCTAATAGTATGACAGGACGTTGCAATTTGATTAAATGTGGAGATTTAACAGAGGGTAAATTAAAGTATTTATAAAAACTATAATATATAATTTTTATATTAATATATTAACTATAATTTATGATATTTGTTCACAGACACAATTATTTTAATACAAAGAAGAATTAAAAGAAACCATACTTCTTTAATTATTAAAGAATATGGAACTGTCGTAATTCCATCAGATTATGATATTATTCAATTAATATCAAATACATCTGTAGATTTTGAGATACAATGGTCTCATAATGGAATTTTTATTAAAGAAAATAATAGAATTAGGATAAAAAACTTTAATGTTGGTACGTTCACTTTTTGTGGAATACTTAATGTTGGTAGATTGAAACATTATGAATATATTGTTTCAGTAATAAACAGAGCTCTACTGATTGATTCTGGTATTTATACAATCACTTTACATAGAATTGATCAGTCATATCTTGTATTGAAAGTTGTTGCTTTAGCCATTATACCAAGTACAGAAAGTATTACTATACGTGAAACTTTACCTTTATCTGTAATTTGTAATTGTCTTATTTTGGGTTATGTATATTCTGATCTCAAGATATCTTGGGAAATAAATGAAAATATTTGGAAAGATTATGGTATTACCCTACCTATTGCTGTAAATGTCGATTATATCAAGGCAATAAATAAGTCACATGAAGGAATGTGGAAATGCATTGTAGAGCAGACTGATTTAAATTTTAAATGGATAACTAATATAATTGTTGTTAAAGGTAAAAACTTTAATATTTGAATTTACTTCTATAAAGGTACTGTAATTATTTGTAAAATGAAATATTGAAGTTATTGGTTCACCAAATTGGCGCACTTATTTAATGGAAGATAAATTGACTAGTCCTATATTTGGTTGGATGCCAAGTGAAAATTTTGTTGCTGTTTCTGCATTAATAATCTTTTTAATACTAATTGGTTGTATAATTATAGGTTCAATCTTTTTAATAAGGCAAGTGTAATTTTCTTAATATAATTATTACAGTAACAAAATTTCATACACAATAATAATTTGGTATTAATATTAATAAACAGGCTTCAAGAAAGTCGAAAGATCAAAATTCAAACTTTCAACCAAAAGAAAAATAAACAATAAATAGATCCCAACTAAGGGTAATTAAGAATACTAATTTTTATCATTTATTTAATATTTCAATCATTTTTCATCAGCATATTTACATATTTATAAATAAAAAAATTAAATTTTAGAAAATATGAAATATCAAAAAATCAAAATAAATTTGTATTTTTTGTAAATGAGAATATAAAGTATCGATCAGTCTAATTCCAGGACATTGTGTATTTATGCATTGAATGAATAATGAATAATTTTATCGAGGTATTCAATACACCTAAGAATTCGAGTGAGAATTTCATAGACACATGCTCTTTGATAATTTTGTCGTTTTTTCCACTACCGGTCGGTCTACCTATATCCTCTACCTACCTACCTTCTCTCTCTATCATACTCCTTGTTGCCCCACCTTTTCTCTTTTTCTTCCACCTCTTTCTCCCACCTCTCTCTCTCTCTCTCTCTCTCTCTTTCTCTCTCTCTCTTACGGAACATTCTTCGCGCACGTGTCTATCTTCCTTGCATGTATACGAAAACGTGTTCTTCGGCCTCTGGTACATATCCTGATTACTAATTTACGAAGCCATGGACTACTTCCACGCTTGGATATGACACCGAATTCCATATTCCAGTCGAGTGGAGAGTTGAGAAGAGCGAACCTGATGATCCTTAAGAATCCATGAATCGTACAAGAAGCTATACTATCATATCATTCGATAGATCACTTCAATAATTGCACTTGTTTCCTGTTTCACAAATTAACGGTTCATCATACACGATATACGTCTACTTTCTAATCTCTTTTCTGATATCATTTTAATGTCAAGATTTTCGAAGGTCGATTAATTTATCACTTGCATAGCTGATTAATTAAAAAGATCAATGTGTGTAATTAAGTAAAATAAAAGAAACACTAGCTATTTGCGTACTTTTAAAAAGTAAAACCTTTTGTTTTCTAGATATTATTTGAATGATTTAAAAAATATGCATTTTTTTTCTTACAGATGAAATTTATGAAGACGAAATCAGTCGAATTTTAAATTTAAAACTAGGTTTTAAATTTATCTGGAAAATCTAATGTTTAAGATTAAAATCAACGTGTAAGAGTAGTATAATCTATAGAGGAAGTTGCTTGATATTTACAGTTAACTGCTAATTCAAACTCTTATGGATTGCTTTCCTTAATAATTCTCAAGAACATTCAAATTTTGCTTTACTCAAATTCCAAGATTTATTGAAATGCGAAGAAAAAATATTCGTATCTATTTTCCTTTCGTTTCTTATCTATTCATTAAAGAAATATATATGAATGAAAAATTTCAATATCTCTTTATTTTGTACAAATAGTTTTTTACTAGTTTCAGTTAAATTATAATTATAACAATTTAAGAAGACAACAAAATGAAAAATTTAACAATAAGAGATACACGAAAAAAGATACCAAAGTAACGGAACGAAATAATTGTCGATTAATTAATTTGATTATATTGTCGTAGAATTTGTTCTCCCCTTGAAAACTCGCTTTCGAAGTACAATACATTCTCTCAAGGAAGAGAAAAAAAACAATGGAACGCGTGAAAAAGATGTTGGAATATAATACTAAGTACCCGAAGGAAGCATTACCAAGAAGGAGGACGAAGAAGGAGAACGAAAGAGGTGGAGGCACTGGTTAGTATAAAAGGGTCGAACCACGGTATCTCGTCTGTTTCAATACTCTCAACGAGTCGTGCAGTAGATCACACGTACCATTGATCGCGACGGTCATCCGTACACGGAACGTTCACGACTTCCACATTGAGGAAGTTGAAAAGGTGGACGAGAAGGGAGAGTGAAAGAGAAATTAAATAAAGAGAGGTGAGTCCAACGGAACCAAAGCAATCCTGAATAATTACCCTGGAAATAACTTCGATCGTGATGATGACGAAAGTATGCATCAAAGATAAACGAAAGGCATCCAAAAAGTTTTTTAGGGAATGTTTCGAGTCAAGTGATATTTTGTGCGCCGTCAATAAAGTGAAACATCGTATATATTTGATCTTTGTGAACAAGATTGTTAAATTCTATATAGACTATATGTCACTAATCACAAAAATCAATTTTATTGGATGTAATATTGCAAGAATGATGTCATTATTCGGTTATCACTTTTAATTTCATGTGTAACTATCGTGCAAAAATGAATATTTTGTCAAAGAGAGTTAGTCGTTAATTAATGTATAAATAGATAATATATGATCTTTTTACAGAATAATGAAACTAGTGGCAGTGGTTGCATTGCTATGCTGTCTTGCCATAGGAGGATTGGCATCACCAGTGCCGGAAATCAGCAATAACAAAGCATCGGTTGCGAATGCTCTCGTCTCAGGAAGACAAGCGCAAGCACCACCGGCTACTGCAGATGATGATGACGAAGATGATGACGATGACGACGATGTCGATCTCGATATTACAGGAGATGATGATGATGACGATGATGATGATGATGATGATGACGACGACGACGACGATGATGATGATTATTTGGAACGTTTCATTGAGGATATTTTAGGAGGTAAAATAAAAAAATATATATATCAAATTTTTCAAGTTGAAAAAACAAAAAGTTTAAAGAGGTTTCTGTCATATATAGATAGCGGATAGTAATATTTTTGATATATATTAGATAGTCTGATCTGATCTAAAATTTTGTACTGGAATGATAGTAAAGATTGTAAAAGAAACTGCACCGTTATACAAACATCAGAAATTCACGTGAATAGCATGCCCGATGGAATTTGTTGACTGTTCACGGCTTACTGGTAACGGTACGAGGCGCATCGACTTGCCCGAATTAACATACATCAACGGCGACCCCAGCTCAGAAAGAATTTCTACGCGCTACTTCTTTCTCATCGACCTACATTTGAGAAGTTGTTCTTAGGAAATACAAGCACGTTCGAATTTCGATCGTACGACAGTTACACCAATTTTTTTGCAATTCATATAATTGGAGAATGTACATAAATGTTTCCTAGATAAAATAATCATTCTTTTAAGATAAAAATGCGTTATCGCATGTAAGTCGATAATTAATTTGTTTTATCTCAGATAATTACTAAGACTAAAAGAAAACTTCTATAATCGTAGGCGAGGAAGATGATGATGACGAAGATGAGGAAGTGAGTCAACCGGCTTCGCAAGTAACACCTGTAGCAGCCTCACCAATACAGTCTGCACCGTTGATAGCCTCGCAATCGATACCGGCGGCAGTTCAAGCTGATTTGAATGCTGCTGCAGCATCCGCGGAGAATACGCCCGAGGAAGCAGCTATTGGAAGTGAACCTACGTCATCCGATGACGATACTTACGACGAGGTCGAGGAAACTGTGCCCGAAGGTCAAGCTATTGGCCAAGAATCCGGACTCGAAGGTGCAGACTCTATTGTGAATCCTGTTGTTCAACCAGCCAGTTCTCAAGCTGCTGCGGCACAAAGTGACGACGATGACGATGACGACGATGACGACGACGATGTCGATCTTGATATTACGGAAGACGACGACGATGAAGATGACGAGGATGATGAAGATGACGACGATGATGACGATGACGATGAGGATGCCATTTCGGACATCACCAGCGCCAGACATGCACGTGAGTTCAAGGGCAAGACCAAGAAACATATTAGTAGACACAAGAGTGCACGCTTATCGCGCAAACGACCTGTAGCATCTTCTTTTCCGGCTCGCTCGTCTAATGTTTTCTCTTCCTCCTCTTCTTCTTTTTCTTCTACTACTTCATCCTCTGGCATTTCTAAATTTTCCATACATTCTAAGTCATCCTTATCATCTTCTCCCTTTTCTTCTCCGACTACTTCGAGGAGCGTTTAAAATGACGCGAGAAAAAAAAGCGATTTTGTAGTGGTAAAAGTGTAATATGATTCACAAATATGTCTCGATATATTCGATATTTTTCGATAAATCGAAATTAACAAAACAAAGTCATTACGTTTTTATTCGAAAAGAAATTTTGTCGAAATTTAGCGATCTTTTCACGAACCAGTACGCATCATAATTATAAATTATCTGTTATTTTTGCTTCGACAAAATACGTAAAGCACTTTTAGGAGTAGTATTTATTTTTATTTATTTATCATTATATTTTTCTCAAAATCATTCGCTTGTGAAGCGTCATGATATTCGCTTGTTCTCTATTATTTCATGCCTTTTCTTTCCTTTTTTTTATTTATGGCTTTTATAAATTCCAACGTAGAGGGTACTGGGAGAAAGAATTCTGACGATTAATGTGTAAATAAATGCCAATGTTTTAAGGTCGTACAAGCGCTTTCTGCGTAATTTCTTGCAATAATATAAGAACAACGAAAAGGTGGAGGCGCCCTTGAATTTCACGCTTGTCATTTTAACGCACATTTGTCAGGATTTAAGTCGGACTCTATTATGCCTACACAAATTAGTTGAATTCATTACCTATGGCAAATGTGTGTTCATTGATGATCATTAGTCATTATCGAATCGCGATGTATATTACGCAGAAGATAAAAAATGATTCATTCAAAACTGAAATGAATAGGGATGAAATACTTTGCATTGGTGACGTCACGTCATGTACTTGTTTCATATTTTCCATAGATCGATTAAGTCATTAGTATATTTATAAATGAGACTGTGAAGAAGAGGGACAGCGATTCAATGATGCCATTAATCTGGATTGGAGAGTAAACAATATCGTCATGAGAAAAAAATATAAGAACAATGAAATTATTCTTATTTTTTATTATTGTTCATTTATCAATGGTTAATGATAGATTTTTGAAATAAATTGAGATCAATGATGGTATCTTCTATCCAATAATGCAAGCACATACACGATTATAATAATCCATAATCAAACTAAATTTTTGTAGCAAGACATTGTTTAATTCTAAATTGCAAAATACACGATAATTTATTGTTTTTACAAAATTATGTGTCCCACCTTTTATTTCTTCACTGCCATCCGCGTTTAAAGCAATTTAATAATAAGGAATAACCCTTCCTTTATATAAAACCAAAATATGTTCGAAAATGAATATATTTCTGAGAGTGTTAAAGTAATGCAATTGTATTACGTGACGTGTCGAACCATCGCTTTAATTTAATTTATGTAGATTTTCGTAATTTTAACTTAAAGTACCAAAAATTTTTGCTTGCTCTTGTTACACATTTGTAAAAATTCTTTTTGTTTAAATTTAATATCCTTTTGAAAATTATATTGCTTATGTAGTAGTATCGTAATGGGTGACTGGACTTGCTTGACATTATTGCTCTTTACTCATTCTATCTTTTTATTATTTTTTTTTAACATGAATAGAGGATTACAAATTTGATATTACTAATTGTCCCTGTTAATGAGGCATCTTCGAACAACCACTATATTTCACAATTAATTTAACAACTAAACTCAATTCGCGATAAGAAGCAAACATAATGGATTTAAATTAGCAAGATTAAATTTGTCCAAAACGCGTGGCAAATACAGAGATGCTAATATATAAGAAGTATCAAAGATTCATTATCGGGTTAACCAATTAACTTTCTACCTGATTCTAAGATCGAGTATAACAAAGGTGTGACTGTATTGAAATTTTTTTTCAACTTTCACGAAGCAGCCCGATGACCCAAAAGAGAATCGGGTCAGTGACCCGGAGTATAACACTCTCTACTAAGGCACACAATTGTCTGATTACGACCCTGACCCACACCTGATCGTAGCTTCCTCATCGCCATGTTTGTGCTACTTATTCGTTTTCTTCTCAGATAAAAAAAGAGAGGGAGGAAGAGAGAGAGAGAGAGAGAGAGAAAGAGAGAGAGAAAAGAGAGAGAGAGGGGGAGAGAGAGAGGGAGGGAGAGAGAGAGAGAGAGAAAGAGAGAGAGAGAGAGGGGGAGAGAGAGAGGGAGGGAGAGAGAGAGAGAGAGAAAGAGAGAGAGAGAGAGAGAAATCATTTTCATCGAATGCGTGTATATCTATCATAAAAGAAATGGCTATATTAGTATTATTTGATTTTACTGAGTATATCTTAAAAGTTAGTATCATTAACAATATCATAACTTCTCGTAATTATCGTTAACGGGGGATATAAGCAGAGAGTAACACGCTAAAGATTAACAAGATTGATCGTTATTAATCAAATGGACGTTTTGATGGATCTTTACAAATTACATACCTACATTTCACATCGTCGAGGTGTTGCATGATCTCGAGGAATTGAGGGGTAAAAAGAAGGTCACTGGTGAATAACTACGTCAATGTATGTATAATACTTAAGAGCGTTTGAAATTATGACGGCCTTGAATAAACGAGGGTTCGTTGAATTTTTCTTGAATCTTGATCTCTTCGTTACGACGAGATCGAAGAAAGTGACTCTATGTAGGTGCAACGACCGGGGAGAGTTTTTAAGCGGGCACGAGGAAGACGGACGAGTATATACTGTCGCGAGTAGATAGGTCGATAGGTGAGATGAAAGAAGGGAGACCTGTTTGGCCTCCCCGAAGGACTCCGATTTACCGTTATACCCATCGACGATTCAACCATGTTCACTTGGAAGTAGGTTTCAATCGTCACCGTCACTTCCTTCCAAGGTAGCTAGCTAGAAGAGAATGTGCTGACGGTTTCCCTTCATTAAAAAGCAAACCTGGTAGAAGCGCGTTCTCGCAATGCATTCGGCGGATATGCCTCTTTCCTGGTCAATGACCTCATAGAAATACTCCGGAAAGATGACCTCATAAAAGTACAGTCAAGGCTACCCTCTCGATAGTTTTAATATAACGTACTCGTTTCATTATATTCTTTCATAATTTTCCATTTAACTTTTATTATTTCATGATGTTTCAGTGAAAATGTTTCTTATATAATTGAATTGAATACAAAATAAGTTTTGATGATACTATGACTGAAGTATTATAAAGTGAAATTGATCAATCATAGATCATTATCTCTTTTTAATTTTAAATGAGTAAAGAAAAAAATCTTTCGTACGAAATTTTAGATGATTTGGAGTCGGAACCCAGCAGTTATGTACCAGCCATCTATGTTGCGAAATATAATCATTTTGTAGACAACATTCTTGAGAGGATTAATAAAATTTTAAGCGCTAATTACGATCCAGTGACGGTCAAATTAACTAATCCAAATTCGAGCTCGAAATCGAATAAGAAAAAAAACAAATCTAAAAATAAAAAGAATAAATATGGTTCGAAGAAAAGTGTTTCTAGATTGGTTATACATATCTCCGAAAATATGAACAATGAAGAGTCAAACGATATACAGGTATAATCGCTAATAGAAATTTTTAGTTTCTTTTTCTCTTTTTTTGAGATGAATTATGTTTATATAAAATCGATGAAATTTATTTTTTATTCAGAAAATAGATCCTCACAAAAACGTAGCTACAACTTTGATGGATATAGAATTACCAACAACGATGTCGACTCTTGGGTCATCTGACACTACTATTGCACAAAATCGTATAAGAAATGCCAAACGAAAATCATCTAATTCTCAAAATAAAAAATCGAATCGTAATAAGACGAAGAATCGAAACAAAACCAAAAATTCCACAAGCGGTAGTAACAAAAATAAAGTGAGTATTTTAACAAATTTTTTCAATCTTTTTGCTCAAGAATAAATATTATAGTATGTAATATAAAAATAGCGTCATGTTTTAGGCAAAGGCAAGAGCAATTTTATATGGACTCGCTTCGCTTCAAAGATCAGGAGATGTCTCGGTAAATATGATGAGCAATCATACAACTATCAAAACGAAATTTACCTTGGGACCTTTAATACTTAAAGTCGAAAAAGAATTTGGTAGAGCTGCGAAAAAAGAACTTAGAAGTGCAACTGCTACCACAGCAGGAATGTCTGGTAAACTGAGTCTTCGTGTGATGCACGGAGGTGCTGCCACATTGCATTCCATTCGTGTTTTACAACCCAAACAGGTTAATATTTAAACTCGCTTACTAAGGATTTATAAAACTAAACGTAACGTAATCTTAATAATTTAATTTTTAATTAGGTTCGCGTTGAAAGTGCGGATGATCACGATAGAACAAGAGAATTTGTTTGGAGAAGATCATCTCATATCGCTCATTTAGTATCTCAAAAACTTTTAACAGCTACAAGATCAATGTTACGACCTCCACCTGTCCCAGCACTTGCTGCTTAAATATTGAATCATACTTGATCCAAATGAAATCATTATAAGTGCCATAACAATGGGTTCAATTCATCGTTTCGCGTTATTCCATTTTATGGTACACGCTCTTTGTTCTTGAATCACGGCTTTATCGATTCGAATCAATGAAGAATTATTTGTTTATTCTTTTTATACCCTTATAAAAAAAAGTACATTTTCAAAAATACTACGTCTTTAAAAAAAAGGACAAAAAGAAAGTATAAGCAATATGATTTCATTTTGGATCAACATTTGTCTATATTTATTTATTTATATGTCATTAACATTTTTATAACATACATCTATAATTATTTATTTATTTTTATTATTTATTTAAAGTAGTGCCTATTTTAAATTGCGATTATTTTAATATTATCAAGAATATTCCGAAAATATGTTTATACAAAAAAATAAAAAAGTAAACTTTGGTAAAATTTAATTAATAAATTAAATTATGCATTAAGTCAAATAAAAAATTAAATATGAGCTTGTCAATTTATTTTTCTACTTACATAAATCAGTTTGATGATTTTTGATAGTTCTCGGAAGATGGACAAATTTGACACTTTTTACGTATTTTGACATTTTTAAAACATAATAAATCAACCGGTGATGGTCTGTGTTCTTCGTCTCCTATCCAGTATTTTTTAATTGATGTAGGATCTTCACCTAAATCATACTGTAAGTCCATTGCCTAAAAAAAGATATATGATTAAGTTAGAATCTTAATTTTTTATCAATTTATTTTCTTTAATATAAAAATGTTATACTTACATCGAATAGTTGTAGCCAGGCTACATGCGAACAATGAACTACAAATGAATAAACTGCTTTTTCAAGATACACATTGTAAATTGCATTCATCGTCGAAGAAATGATTTCATTTAAAATAGAATTCACGATGAAGGAATTATTCTCTTCTTCAAAAATATCCTGCCATTTAGATTCGGATATTTGAAAAGAAACGGTTGCTTCAAGCTCGTTGGTAAAAATTTCATTAGTTTTATTTTGTCCTCGCAAATTTTTGTTTAATTTCTCTTTCATCATTATTTGTTTAATTATCTTAATAAATTAATTTTTAATTAATCGACATTAAAATTGTAGATTTCAACGGTCATAAAATGTAATGTAGATAAGAGTCGACTTTTTATTTCGTATTTAGCGTAATTCACTAGACGTGCGTTATTCAAAATTTCAACGAATGTTGACCTTCTATCGGTTGTATGTTATCAATGAATGACTTTTTAGTATCGTAATAAATAAAATTAAAAAAATAATAGCGTTATATAGCTAGTATCTAGCATCGTATATTAAGAAAGATAAATTTTTCATGGAAACAATGTCAAACAAGATCAACGATCATGTAATTTATTTTCATTTTTAAAAGATTTATTCTTACTGAAATTGTACGCTAAAAATTCCCTGAAGTCTTTTTTTTCGATCTACAACATATATGAGTTACGACTTTGAGTTTATGATTCGTGTTTTATTGTATATCGCGCTTTATTTCTTATAAACGAATGGTGCAGGATAAAAGTTTTACACCGCAGCAGTGTTTTGTTCGAAGAAATGGAATTGTCGGCTGATGGGAGAACCATTAAAAGCTTTGAAGACATACGAATAAATTTAAACGAAGATTGTCGTATCTGTTTACGAAGGTGTAACGAAGCATGTCAACTGTTTCAAAACGACAAAGGCTTTTCTCAAAAACTAATGGCACTTGCTGCTGTACAGGTTAGATTTATTACATTCTGAATTTAAATATGTTGATTCTTCCGAAATTTGCTTGATTTACTTGTACTTTTACGCATCTCTTTCGCAGGCATAAAAGACAAAAATGTCCAACTAAAAGTAGAAGTTTAAAATCTTATATGATCTCATCAGAGTCGAATTAAAAACACTATAATACAGAGATGAGGCATTTTAATTCCATCTTTCCTGTATATGTGCGTGTGTGTGTGTGCGTGCGCGGCGTGTGTGTACTATATCAATATTTTATTATTTTATGTACATTTTTACAGTTCTTAAATCCATAAGAGATGCAATAGTTTTCAATTTAGCATGATGGAACAATAAAATATGTATGCCAGAATAATATTCTTTAAGTGTAATGTATTTCTTATTATTTTGCATCGAACACATTAATTCTGTTTTAAGTGCGATACTTTACATATATATAATACATATGTAGAAGATTAAAGCAATTTCGGCAGGTAGAAGACAGATCAGTTGCATATAAATATATGGAATGATACATTCATTTGGAAAGTATAATTATTTTGTTTATTACAGGTAGAAGAAGAAGATGGATTGCCATCAGTAATATGTTATCAATGTTCTCAACTTCTTGACATGTCCTACAATTTTCAATGTCAGATACAAAAAGCAGATACAAAATTACGTGGAATATTGAAACTTAAATCATGTACAGTAAAAGATATTGAAAATGTATTCAAAGTTGAAGATAATTTTTCTGATATTATCTCAAATACAATATTACATAAAAAAGTTACAGATAATATTAATAATGATGTTAGAACATGCAGTAACACTATTGATGAACCATCTGTACAACTTGATGTACAAAGTTTTTCCACTGATCAACATGTCTTTACTTCTGAAATAATTAATGATAATATAGAACCCAATGACAAGTGCAATTCAATAATTGTACTAGAGAATAAACAAAAAACATACAAAGTTGTAGAAAATGTAAAATTACCTCAAAGTTATGAAAAAATTACAAATAAATCAAATAGTGTAACATGTCATTCGCCTAGTTTAATTACAGAAACAGACTGTATTAAAGAGGATTTATCTCATGAAAAAAATTTATCAGAAAGTGATGATAATTCCATTGACCAAAGTACTGTTAGCAGAGAACAAATATTCAAAACTGAAATAAAAGATGAGTTACATTTAGAAGCATTATCCTATAATACACTTGCAGAAAATTCATCAAAAAATAATGATATTCAAAAAGAAGGAAAACCTATTGATAATTGTAGCGATGATGAGGAAAAACCTTTAATTACCAGGACTTCAAGGCAGAAATGTCTACATTGCATTAAATCATTTGCTACACGTTTAGCTTTACAAAGACATATGATAGTACACAAGCACAAAACAAAATTACGTTATGTTTGTTACATATGTGAAAAACAATTTTCAAATATTGCAAAATTAAAAAGTCACATTTTCAATAGACATGATACACATGAAAGTAATAAAAAAAGAGTGAAAGAGAACAGTGAAGATAAAGATGTACATTTAAAAACAGGACACCTTGATAGTAATTGTAATAATTCCATCGAAAATACTAAAACTGAAAAAAGAAATTGTAAATTTACATGCAAAGTTTGTTCTAAACAATTTACATATCAAAAATCTTTCTTCACTCATGCTAAAAGTCATCCAGAATATAATTCTGAAGATTTAAATGATTTTTCTAGTGAAACTGGAACTCAATTAAATGAAATCAAAAGTAAATCGGTACTGAAACAAAGTGAGTCAGATGATGGAAATAATGATGATATTGATGATATCGATAATGACGATGACAATGACAATGATAATGATAATGATAATTTACCAATGGAAAGTCCTCAGTGTACACAGTGTGGAAAATTGTTTGCAACCAAAAGAAATCTTAAAAGGCATATCTCTACTCACAGTGGTTTGAAGTACAATTGTTCGACTTGTGGAAAAGGATTTTCAAGAATAGATAAATTAAAGGATCATGAGCAATCAAAGCATAAAGATGAAATATTTGGTAACTCGGAAGAAGAAAATGAAGATGATACAGATAATGAAAATAAAGTTAATAGTGGTTCTAATGATCGAAAAAAGGTAATATCAAAAGTGATTTATACTTATAAGCGTTAATTAAAATATATAGACGTTAATAATAAGAAATATAAACAAATCTTTACATTCTCAATGAGAGTAATGTTATATTTAATTTCTTACAGGGTAGACATAATAGGCCACATAAATGTGCTATTTGTCCAAAAGCATTTGCTCAGCAACAGTCTTTAGCTAATCACATAGAAAGGCATAAACGTGCTAAAGATAGTCAAAAAAGATTTCTGTGCGAAGTTTGTAGCAAATGTTTTGCTCAAAGTGGTTCACTGGTTGCTCACATGCGTACTCATACTGGCATTAAACCATATGTATGTAATGTCTGCAGTAGAGCTTTCACTAAAAGCACCTATCTACAATTACATTTAAGAACTCATAGTGGAGAAAAGCCTTATATTTGTCAATATTGTAGCAGAGCATTTGCACGTGCCAATACTTTAGCCAGACATATAACGATGCATACAGGAGAAGCTAAATATCACTGCCAGATTTGTACTAAGTCTTTTAGACGATTAACTTCATTAAATGAACACACGTACACGCATACTGGTCAAAGACCATATGCATGTAAAATATGTACAAAAAGATATAACAATGCAGGTTCTTTGTATGCACATACAAAGAAATGTAAAGCTCAGCAGTTGTCTAACTCAACAACAACTTTTACTCTTCCAATGGATAATACATTGCAACAAAATGGTGGACCTACTCCGCAGGTTTTAATCTATTCTCAAAGAAAACTGGTAGAGGATGGTACTGTTGGTCAAGTTACACCATCTCCACAATATATGATTGCTAATGTACATAATCAAAAAGCCTTATCTACAAATATTATGCAACCATTTACAGTTGAGGATCCAAATGTATGTACAGTCAATTCTAAACAGTTTAAAAATCCTTATTATTCTATATATCCAAATGTATAAGATATTCTGCTAAAGTATATTTAGTAAAAAATGTATAATTATATATCAATCTGATTGATCATCTATTTTTAAGATTTGAATGAAAATTAAAGTCTGATTGTAGAACATTAGAATGCAACAGTATTTGACGAAAGGAACAAAGACTTATTAAGGTGTTAAGAAATTAAATTTGTCCATTCGATCAATCGAAATAAACTTTCGTAAACATCTTTGAATAAGATTCTAGTTTTTAAATATTACTAAAAATTCAATTTTTCGTATTCAGTTATAATGAAATAAAATAAAATTTTATTATTGTAATGTAAAATATTTTAAAAATGTACTATAAATTTCGAAGAATTTCAGGTTGCGGACATCATAAATTTTAAATCACCCGCGCTTACATCATTATTTTAAAATATACAACATCGTCCAATAACAAACAAAATTTTTTTATCTTTACATACAATTTTTATATATTTCATCTATTTATCTATCTTTGTGTACGTGTGTATAATATATATATATATATATATTCATATGTATATGTATATATGAGTATATATATATATATACATCATTATTTTAATTTTAAATTTATTGAAAAAAATTATAATTTTTTTTAGAATTGAAAAAGACCTATTATTATTTTCATGAAATATTCATTCAGACGATCTACATATTTTTGACTACTGTATTCACAAATACAAGGTGTTTATTGGAGATTAGAAAATATTAGAATCTGCTCGAACCAGAAATGTTTTTATTTTCTAGTACCTTTAACAGGGCCAATAATGTTAGTTCCTATTTATTTTCATTGAATTCATGTGATATAGCCTTAAATTAAAATGAATACGACAGAATTATAGTACCTTCAGGAAACATTTTCGAACGCCATCTTGCCTCTTAACTGCTAAATAGTTGTTCTGTGAATGCGTTTGTCATAAGTGGATTGTGTTATTTTCTTCTCTATTTGAGTTGTAATTCTATAATTGTATTAAATTTTAAGTGATCGACAAGGTGAGGGAATGCGAACTGTTATAAGCGTCCGTTGTTTTGCAAATTAATCAGGAAACTTTCTGTTTGCTCACGCACGAACGAACGGCTGTGGCATATCATGAAACATAGAGTTCTTTCTTTAGTGCAGGCTATTCTAATCTTTTCTAAATCTTAAATTTCATAATAATAGACTATAAGTCCTCGTGCGTAAAGAAATCAGTGGTTTTCTTTATAAGGGGCATCATTTTTTAATAATAACAGATGTCGGTATTCGTTTGAAATGTAATTTTATAATTCGAAGAAAATCAGAACATTCGGGGATATCTTGTATCTCATAAATCGTCTAGTAATTTGAATAGAGACAAGAAATAAATCGTGTTTTGATTGAGGGTCATGCACGAACAATAGTGTGCAGCAGACTATTGTGCGCGAATGATGACGTTTTTCCTTGAAGAAGTACGCATAGAGGATTGTTTCCTGTTTGTATGACGTTTGCTGCTTTCATAAGTCTATTGGATCAACATTAATTACGGTAGCAGCAGCCGAACGAAGTATTGAAACACGCGAGTGACTTGATAGTGAGAGGTCGTAAAGAGAAGAAACTTTTTTTTATATTCGATACTAAGTACGTTCTACGTTAATACTTCAGGTATAGCATGATAACCTTCAAATGTAGATCAAACATAGATTGCTCCAAGAACAATAGATTATATATATATAATTCTATTACGAATTCTATAATCTTATTTGACTATCGATCTCGTATTTTATTATATTATTTTCACATTTCTTTCAATTCGTGATATTTCTCATTTCGTATTATTTATTTCTTTTTATTCATTCTAAGATACATTATAACAATCAATACTTTCATGGTCAATATTTATAATACTGTTAGTGTAATCGTGAAACCTTGCATTAGATCTCAGATCTAGACTCATATAATTATATGTTCTTTCCCAAAAGTTGTATACATACAGCTCCATTTTTAAGAAAGCTTAAATGTAACAAATATATACATATATATATCTAAGGAGTAAATTATTTTTATAAACCTTTCATTAAAGAAAAGTATCTATCAAATAAATAGCTGAAAATAATAAAATGACATTTAATGATTGAAATCAGTAATACTAGCTATTTTACATTAGAATATTAGTTTGATGAGAACTAATATATTAACAGTGATAAAAAAATTTTTGAACTGACATTGGTACGATAAAAGATCTAATTAAATATAAATATCGTTTGAATTTAGGTTATATCATAATCTATATAGTATAATATTAATAAAATTTCATTGTTGATCATTTTTGCAATATAACTTTTGGTTGTACGTCTTAAAAAGATATAAGATTTTAATCATCTTGTTATAATATATATATGTGTGTGTGTGTGTGTGTGTGTGTGTGTGTGTGTGTGTGTGTGTGTGTGTATGTGTGTGTGTGATGATAATATTCATCCACGAGGTGGATATATTTTAAAGATAAGATAAGGTGGAAATAACTGTAATTCTTAAGTGATAAAGAATTTTTCTTATTCCAGAAAGGCAGCAGTTTTATAAAGGAACTAATTTTGTTATTCAATGTAAGTAAAACTTTAATTACAAAAATAGTAGTTAGAATGTAAGTTAGTTTTTTCATAATCAAAGAGGCTGGTGATATACTGATTTCTTTTCTATCTCTACTAAATATACAATCTATCAAGGAATTAAGTAAGTTTTCATACTCTCACCTTAAGTTGAAAAGTTGTCATATTGCTTAGCTATTTATAAAATTTAATGTTATTATACATACAGTCAGAAATTTGAATATGCATAAAAAAAGAATTATTTATTTTCATATATTATTTGTAATATATTTATACGTCTCTATCTAAATATATGATTTTACTCAAAATTCTGACTGCGAGAATAACATAACATAATTTATACAATTGCTAGAACAAAATTAATCGTTTTTATATGATTAAAGCTTTATATGATACTACATTTGCATAATCACTTCAAATGTTATTCCAAATATTTAACATTCATTGAAAACACCAGTGTATATATATATATACACACATTTTTTTGTAAATTTATAGTTATGCGAAATAAAATTTCTAATTACTCTTTTGTTAGTAAGTAGAGATAGCAAAAATGGTCCTGTCTGATTATTTATAAACATATTTAATTTATTTAATTTTAAGGAAAGAGATGATATGTATTAATCAGAATTGTTATGGCATGTGTCATATTCTATTATAATGTATCAAATATTTTACAGATTACTTTTCCTATTTATTTGATTATACTATAGTACTATAAGTAGATAAAAATTATAGTGGAGAGATTATGTATGTAGTACAACAATCTTGTCAATTGATATTGTATATTTATATCGAATGTAGGTGATATTTCATATGAAATGAAGCCAGAAAGTATCTGCAGTTATATTTTTAATTTTATATATAAATGAATATAGGTTGTGCCTATTTAAACATTTGCAAAATATAATGCTAATAGGAGTAAGTAATGCAAAAAGCAGTTTCTTAAATAGAAACTAAATTCTTTTTTATTTGTATATTATTTTTTTTTCTAACGCTATTTTTAGGAAATGCACGATCATAAAGTATATTTGTTCAATATATATTTGTTATTATTATACCTATTTTTATTTATGATGTTCAGTATAATGGAGTAGGAGACATTTAGTGTTACTTGCAATATTTATTTGCATAATAATTTTATCTTATTTGAAATGAAATTACACGTATATTATTAATTCTTCAAGTGTTTAAATATGGAATAACATTGGATTGTTTGTGAAATACAATTTATGTATTAAATAATGTCATACTTATTTACGAAGTCATCTGATAGTTTAGGGTTTTATTCTGATTTGGAGAATTTGGGAGTTTTCTATATTTCTGGACAAGACGTAGTTTCATCAACACCAGCGGCGAAATTTGACATGCCAACAATGGCTATGCAAAAGGTAAATTTTTGAAACAGCTTTAACCATTGATTTAACAAGTGTTCGCACTTTAACAATCAGTGCAATATGAATCTAAATAATATTAGTGAAAATATATCTGAAATAATTTTAACTTATTATAAGTGCCTGTATGAATAATAGATTATGATATTTATACTTTACTAGTTAAAGATAATTTACAAGGTATTTTGATTTGTTTTTTAATGTCAAGTCTACAATTATAGTATTATAAGATAAATATTATGAGTGAGTATTTAACATAAAAATTATGCAAGTTAGTATTGCATTGGATACTATTTCTATGTAACAAAATTACAATAATACTGATCTGCTCATTAATTTTTAAGTTTTTAGAATAAAAAATGACTGATAAGGTATTTGAGAAAAGTGTATAATAATTCATATATTTATTGTCACATATTAACTTAATAATGAAGTATAGTGCCTAAATATATTAGGTATAATTTTACTTTTATTTGTTACATTGTCTTCTTTTTTATATTCTCTTATTATTTTATATATCTGATATAGAAGCTGTTGTGTTAGAACCATTAAGCTTATTATATTATATATCTCCTATAATTTATTTAGTTTGCCTATCTTACTCCTAACTGAACTAAGTTTTTGTAAAAATATGTTGAACAAATGTAACTTCAATTGAACAATGTAGGTGGTAATGCTTTACACAACCTTAATTTTGTAAGGTACAAATATTTTAATTATTTTTGTGCTTATTTTTTGTGTACTTACCAGCATGGCTTTCTTATATAGCAAATGTCCATATTTATTGTCAACAGTTTTGAATTGTTTTAAAAATTGTTTATGTATATTTAATATAATCAAAACATTTTTATATTTTATTATTTTAAATTTAAAGTATTACGTTCAATAGAAATATATACATACATATATATATATATATATATATATATATATATATATATATATATATATAATTTGGATATTTTATAGAATAATATTTTTATATTTCACAGATTATATTTTTATTTTATTTACACTAAATTGTTTAAATTTTATTTCTAAGCTTTTATCTAGACTTACAGAAATATAACTTTTTCTTTATGAATTTTTTACAAATTCATGAAGATGTGATAATAAGTATGGGCTTTACGAAAAATCATAAATTTTATTATTAATTGGTAAGCAATAATACTAATTTTTAGATGAGAAGACAAGGCCAAGACGTCATGCAAATGAATCTAGCAGGTATTAGGCGAGATATTGTAAACCTTGCTCATAATTATAGCAATGCACAGGTAATTTTTTTGCTTTTATCTTAATTTTCAGAATTTTAAATTGTTAATGTAATATTACGTCAACAGATTAGTTGAAACGAATATGGATCGTATTAATTACTTTACAGAAAGCTGTAAGAAAAGCTACCAGTAATGATCCTTGGGGTCCAAGTAGTACTCTTATGGCAGAAATTGCTGATTTGACATATAATGTTGTGGCCTTTACTGAAATTATGCAAATGTTATGGAAAAGACTCAATGACCATGGTAAAAATTGGAGACATGTTTACAAAGCTTTGGTTCTTTTGGAGTACCTTATTAAAACTGGTACAGAAAAAGTGGCACAACAATGCAAGGAAAATATTTTCGCCATTCAAACATTAAAAGGTAATCAGATAAAAAGCAATTTTATATGGATGTTTATTCCAGTTTTTAATTTATATTGTTTTTATATTGGAATAATGAATAATTCTATACAACTTCGTAAGATTTTCAACACATGGAAGGACATAAAGATCAAGGTATTAATGTGCGAGAAAAAGCAAAACAATTAGTAGCCTTATTAAAAGATGATGAGAGATTAAAAAATGAAAGAGCTAGAGCATTGAAGGCCAAAGAGAGATTCGCTCAAACAGTTAGTGGTTTTGGAAGTGATGGTTTAGATACCATGTCACCTGTAAGCAGTGATGTAAGTTTTTTGGATTATAATGACTTCATAATGAAAAATAAATAAATAAATAAATAAATATAAATTAATATATTGTTTCAGTTTCAAGATTGGGAGCCTTGCAATTTAACCGAATCAGCATCACGACGTACGAGTATATTTTTATTAGTCATAAATTTGACATTTCATTTTGGTATCACATTTGTGGTGAATTTAAAGTAAATTTCATAAAAGAAATGTTCAAATGATCGTCATTACAGATAAATACATATTTCTTATTTATTATAATTCATAAAAGAGAAGAAATTTAATCCATATATATACACTTTTAACAAAATTTGTATATTTCTGAAATAGCTGAATTAGAAGCAGCTAGACCACAAACAGTGGGTGAAGAAGAATTACAACTACAGCTAGCACTTGCTATGTCAAGAGAAGAAGCAGAACAAGAGGAGCAACGACGGCGAAGTGACGATGTTCGACTACAATTAGCACTTAGTCAAAGTCAGCAGGACTTTAAGTATGTATAAAATATTTATGAAATGTTCATGTTGTATGAAGAAGAAAATATTTAAAATAATATTTGTAATTTTTAGAGCACCACAAATTGAAAAGCAAAGTCATATGCTTGATCTACTAGATGTAAATCTAGGTGAAGCAAGCGGCTCTTCTGCGCAGAATGATCCTTGGAGTATTCCAGTTACAGCTCCACCTCCAAGACCTCAGGTACTTCATGCTATAATACATATATACATTAATATGTGGTAAAAAAATACTTCAAAAGTAAAGTTACTTGTATGTACATGCATAACATTAGAAAACTATTAAAGAAGAAATATAATATTGTTTAAATATTTAAATATTTAATTTAAGTTTCCAAATAGTTTTGTTCTTTTAAGTCAAAATATGTTTGTGGTGGAAAAGAAGCAAATAATTGTTTCTTTATGCATTAAAAATTTATGTGTATGATTTACTTATATCATTCAAGTACATTGACTTAATTTTGGTTTCATATTATATATATCTTTATTGCATGGTAAAGCAAATCACATACTTTTTGCATGTTGCACATCAGTCCTTGGATTTGTCTCAATTTCGTAAATGTAAGGTATGTTTCACGAAAGTAAATAAACTGATGTAGTAGATTTTAATATATCAAAAGAAAAAAAAATTAAAAATAATAAATAATTATAATTTGTTTTTTATTTGATTTTATAGACTCAAAATGATCCTTGGAGTGTACCAACAACAAGCAATAATTCACCTGCGATAGATCCATGGGCTCCTGTTACATCTCAAAAGCAGAGTAAGTTTTTGATAATATATTCATTTCTATTTTATGTTTATATTACTGATTAGTTATTATAATTACTTGTTTTAGTTGTTGCTAACGATCCATGGAAAGCACCTGCTCCATCTCCAGCAACAATAGTGACTCCTCGCACAGCAGATCCCTGGTCGCCAATACCATCTGTTAATGAGTCAGAAACATCTAAAGTAGAGGTAGTATTAAATTATTTTTTGATTACTACAGAAAAACAGGATTACTTTATTAAATAATAATAAAATAATATATAGGCTCGTCAAGATAAAACATTATCTACATCTCCATCTTTCAATAATCCTACTCTGACTCAAAATATTGGTTTTGCGGCACAATCACCACAAAACATCGGTTTTAATTTGCCAAATTCTTCAAATGCTGCCTTTGGTACCATAAGTAATGGTTTTAAGGATCCTGGCTCTACTTTTAACAATTTTCCTTCTCAAACTCATGGTAGTTCCGCTGCAAGTCCATTGGGCGAGCTTGATGAATTTGATGTAATCAGTCAGAGGAACAAACTTGGAACTGGCTCACAAACTACAAATAATGGTAATTATACAATTATAATAAAAGTTATAATCGACATTATAACTTTTACTATTTTTGTGATGTATGTAATATATTTCAGGAGCTATATTGTCTTCAGATCCATTTGATCTAGGTGGCATAGGTGAATCTCTACCACAAAACACTGGTGCAATAAAAAAGACACCACAATCTTTTCTTGGTGAAAATTCTGCTCTTGTAAACTTGGATAATCTTGTCAGCACCTCTACGATTAAAACAGTAACTCCAACACCAACAGGTAATACTATATTTGAACAATGCGAATAATAATTTATGAACACGCTTCTTTCAAATTATTTGTAATATTGCTTTTATTATAATCCATGTACAAACATATTTTCAGGTAATTGAAATTATATGAAAAATTAATATTTTACTTCATAACACATTCTATGTCTGCAAAATAGCATTTCATTGGAACTAAATTCGTGAGTATTAACAAACTGACGAATGATCGCACGAGTGCATGATTCAAGTTTGTTATCATGTTAATATGAGTTTAATGTTTGTATTTTAATGATTTATACAATTTTATACATCAAAACTTTTGCGAATTTTAGTTTCCTTACGTTTTTAAAAATTTAATTTATTTTGTAATTGAATAATAATCGATTTTATTTTGCATGCATTTTTTATAAAATCAATATTTTATTTATCACGTAAATCTAATTTGTATCAGCAGACTTGAAAGTGTTATAATATTAATTAATAATATTTAACATTATTGATAAAAAGCAAGTGTTTAGTAAAGACGCTTTAAATTTTACTATTTTTGTGTTAAGACGCAAACTTAACTCAATAATAAATATTAGTATCATAGGGATCTATCATTTTTTATTTATGTTAATATCTTATATTTTCATTTAATATGATCTAATTTACAGTGCCCGTATCATACTCAGCGAATCCATTTGCGACAACAGCGGCACCATCTCATGCCCCAATTAACCAGATTCGACAGGACCCTTGGAGTGTAAATACTAATGCTAAAGCAAATCCATTTCTATCGTAGCCTGATAAAAATTATTGAAAAGTTAGCTGAAACCGCTATTACTGCAGCGAATATAATAGTATTTCAGATTTTATTAGTAACCCTGTACGGTATAAGTTTAAATTTAGAGTAAATTATGATATGAGTTGCAGATGCAGAATATAGAAGAAGCAAGCAATAGAAAAAATTTTATTGTTGATAACTAAAAACATTATTGATACTATCGAAATGTTTTAAGTAAAAAATCTAATTATTGACATACTTTTATGGTTGCTGTTTATATTTATTCATAATACTTTCCATAACATATCGTATAATTGTCAGTTATAAATGATTTTATTGTGGCTATATCATTTGATAAATTATTTCACAAGAGATTTTGAATGCTAGAAGAAAAAAGTAATATGATATAATATTTTAACTTGAAATGCTTAAAAGCTCCCAAGGTAAAAACTAGATTTTATACATACTCTTTTCATATATAGAATATTTTTTAAGTATGGATTCATTCTCAGACAAAAATTGCTCACCAATATATTCTTTGGGTAAAAATGTAAAATGATAATGATATCGAGATCATTTCATTTATTTTGTATTTATATACGTGTTTTCTATAGTAAATGAGATCGTGAGACTGTAATCGTAATTTGCAAAAATAGATTATATCGAACAGGGTTCAGTTTAAGCCAGTCTTGAATGTTATATGGATTATGATCTATAAAATTCATATTGTGGCTTGCTTTTTAGCAATAAGAAATCAAGAATACAAATAGTGCCTGTGTTAAAGATGTGTGCGCATTTATTGTTAAATATGATCAGCCGTGTGCTAATAATTTTATACAATATCTAATACATCACACAGTACTTGTTAAAAATAACAAAAATATCATCATGTTCTGTAATCATGGTAATATACATCAGTTTTTATATTTTCAAGCTTTATACACCTTGATTAATGAGTAAATATACACGTCAAGTATACTGTTTATGATTCCAGTATGATGATAATGGCATACATCTGTTTTGTGCAAAGTAGTCTTACAAAAATAAGAACTAATCACTGCTATTGAAAGTAAAACGTTTCAGCAACCAGTTGCAGGTGATTATTAGTATAGCAATTGTCAGGCAATTTTATAACTACAACAATTTGCAAATTTGTTATGATGAGAATATATATTTATTCATTTATTCTATCTCACGACGTGATGCAATTTGCGTTTTCTTACGCATTAAAATATTTACTATTGTACCTTAATTCATGTAAAACAAATTATAAATATGTTATGCTATACTGTTCCACGATCAAATTCTTTTCTTTGAAAGTTCTATGAACATAAGTTATCATTAATATTAATGTGGAAGTTTTTTTTAATACTTAACCACATAAGTTTTTGCAGAAGAATTTGCTGAGTTACATTAAAAATATATTATTTATTTTTTTTATAATAATTTAGTTGTGTCACAACAGTACATAAAGAACTAATATTGTTATTTAATTTAAATAAGAAATAAAATGTGAAAATGTTTTTATTAATACTTGTATATAGACATAGATTGTTTTATGATTTTTATGTTTAATTCATCATACTTTTAAAGATGGCATTCCACCTTTGTGTGAACTTGGCATTTCTTTTTCAAAAACTATGATATGATTTTTCTGATTTTACACAAAGATGATACATTTTTTAAAACTGTATGTTACAAATTGGTAAAGCATACTAAATGCAGAATTACATCATAAATGACTTATTTTAAATAAGTTAGAAATACTTGCATGTTGCACAGATTTCTGACTTTTAATTAAATAATACTATTGTGCTATTCAATATTAAGTCAATAATTTTTTAGTCTCGTGCAGTTTTAAACAAATTTGCTTGTACCATAGAATTTGTATATTTAATATCTATTTTTCCAGAAGTTCGTTAAAAGATGAAGTATTCGTAAAGTATTTTAAAAATTATTTTGAGAAATGAACTATAAAATTCTTTTCATACAATATTAAATGTTTTGAATTGAATAGGCTTACCTTGATTATCACATTTATATATATATATAATATATATAAATATAATTATATATATAATATATATATATACTAATAGTTTTTCATAGAATTTAATATAAAGATTATTTATGTTATGCTTGTTTTATCTATTCGAATACAACTTCATTTCTTATGCGAACACTGGATTACTTTTTAGTTTTAGAGCTACTGTAAGTTCAAAAAACTTCAAAGAACAATTATGAAAAAAATATATTATATATTTTAGTAGATTATTATATTATTAATATTATAAAACAAATAAATGTAAAAATTTCTAAGTTTTCTCAATAAATATATAATTTCAACTTCTCTCACTTTTCTTCATAAAACATTCTATGAAATGCTTTATAAAAACTTATTTTTTGCAAATCAACTTAATTTATTTATTATCATCTCAGTCTTTCTAAAATTAAGTTTTAATTAAATATTAATAACAATATTTTGTATGTTCGTATTAGATAAAATAAAAACAATGCATACGATATCAATAGTTATATACAGATATTATAAATATTAACTGTTTGTAAAAATTTATATGAAGTAGATGATTGAATATATAGTATATGTATACTTCTGTTTTACTACATACATAAAATATTATTTTAAAGAGAAGCTTCCACAGAAGGATTTGTTATTGATGGCAGAAAATAGGATCTTACTTGACTATGTAATTGTGCTACTTCTGGATCTTCTCGTTCTAATGTTCTAATCAATTGAGCAAATTGTACAGTACCTATATACAAAAATATGATAAATAATCTATTCATTTTACTTATAATTAGTTATGTTATTAATTACAAACCTTCTCGTCCTTCTAAAAATCCATAATTCTTAATAACATCCATTTGTATTTGAGTTACAATTGGAAATACAAACTGCATCATTTTTAACATTTCATTTCCGGAATTCTCTTTCACTTCTGTAAGTTTTTGAATATTTTGAGGTGTATTTAAAGCTGCTAAAATATCAGTCAATGCAGCTGTAATGAAAAATTATAAAATAAAATATTAAAATATTTGTATAGTGTAAATAATAAGTAATATTGTAATACCTTTTGCAGTTTCTGCTGTGAAATCAGGTATGCTTGTCATTGTGAAAAATCAACAAATATGTTCCATCTATTCTATACTTTCAAAATAAATATTTACAATTCACTATATGAATACTAACAAAAAAGTAAATATCTATAACCTACTTCGTGAAAAAATATTACTAACACATAAAAGTATTGTAAGAGATTAGGTACAATCGATAATGTTCAGGCAAAAAATGTATTTACTTTAACGACCCCTATATTCCCATTTTTACACTCATTTTAACGGTTTTTTTCGAATCTATGCAACTTCTAAAATATTACGCTGTTTTTCTTTAATAATTTCATTATTCAATTTTATACTTGTTCTCTGTTATCTCTATACAGTAAAATAGATAAATATTCAAAAAACATAAATGCAATATTTTAATGATTTAAGCTGTTTACTTACCCTGTTTTTATGTTTGACGGTAACAAAAATTCTAGGTATAATACTTGACCGATTTTTATAAACAAAGTTTATATTGAAGATGGAGGTTTAAACGAGGAGTCGGCTTTTTCAAATTTTGCAAAAATTTTTTTTTTATGTAGAAATTATTTTCGAGAAAATAACACTAATAAGATTTTTTTCAAAGAAAACAAAGCTTTTCCAAAAATTTGAAAATTACGTTTGGAATCATTACTGGCGTCAATGCTGTTTTCGCAATTTTTGTGAATAAATTTCATATAGTGGCGCCTCTTAAAATCTACGGCGAAAGAGATGAAGCTCCTACCCCCACTACTAATTTTCATGTCACGCTTGAGTAGTGTATGTTTTATTTCCGTGAATTAGCGAATTGCCTGCTTATTGTATATGTAAATTGAGGGGTTTTCTGATCCATTCCAAACGTAAAGAGATTCTTTCCAATGCTAGCGCGGAGAAACTACAGTGACACACTCAATAATTTTGTTGATTATTTTATCAAAAATAATAATTACTGAATATTTATATATTATACATTATTTTAATAAAAATCGAACATGAGTTCGTTTTCATACTAACTATAGTTAGAATTTTCAACACTAGTTTTTTTTACTATAGTTTTCACTGTAGGATTAATCCACTTTATGTTATTATTATTACTATACTACTATTATTATAATAATAAGGATAAGAAGAAGAAGTAAAAAAAACATACTCAAATATTATATGCGTGTACATTTTATATGATATATGATGATGGTGATTTATAATAACAAAAGAAAAAAGAATATATTTAAACGAAGTACAATACAGCCAATCTACAACCGATTGAGATTTGAGATTTGAGAATCTCTCAAAGATCTACATCCCTTTTAGATATATTCTATGTGTTACAAAGCGTGATGTTTTTTCGCGTGAACTCTTAACGGATCATATTTTCAATAATTTAGATATGTAACTACCCATAAATAGGTATCTTAACAATAATGAGATATGACGACAAATACGAAGCGATTTTTTATTTTTGTCCGTTATCGTTTCCTCATGTCTTTCTACTAATCGTATTATCAGTTCATAATATTCATATTCCTCTTTATTCCATTTTAGCTTTTATCGGTTTTATTTTAATTCTTATTGTTTATCTTATTGATTTTGCGAAAATGTTAAATTATATGGAATTCTGTTATGAAATTTATATGAAGAAAAGCGATGCACAAATTAAGTATTTATGCCGAATTCGCCGTTTATGAAATAGATAAATATAACAAAAATTTTTCGTTTTCCAATTCCGAAGAAGCTGCTGTTAGGTCAAGCCGCGTCAGGTCGTATCGGGCCGGGCCAAGTCGAGTTGGGCCGGGTTCGGACGATATAAATATGAGAGACTGAAAAGTGTGAATTCAGCCTACTAATACCAATACTCTAATTCTCATTAAGCATGAAAGGGTGTAACCTAACCAAGCTTATATACCACATGATGCGAACATCCTTGTTTCTTTGTTACATTTGTAGTTTATATTTTGTCCACACTTGTCGCTGAAGCCATACATGCTCAAGCGAAAAGTAATGAATAGTCTTAAAAGAGAGATTATTTTATTTTATTAATTTTGCATATAGATTTCGAAGATTTTGAAGATTTACATCTTTCTCTACTCTTTCTTTCTCTCTCTCTCTTTTTCAAGAAGTTATATAATACATGTATATGAATTTTTAAACAAAATGTTTATATTAAAATATTTGTTAATTTGTTATAATTTTTGCGAAAATTGATATAATAGAAAATATACACTGTATCATAAAGTATACATGATGTAAAGATGACTTGCGTATTATGAAAGTATGTATGTGTGTGTTTATGCCTATAAACTCGTCGTTTATACACAAATACAATAATAATATTAAAAATTTACAATATTTAATAATTAATGTTAAGGCATTACTAAGGTTGAGTTTATATTGAATTTGATTAAAGATAATACATAATAATTGAAAATGGTATGCATTTTTTTATATATATAGCTATACTCGATAAGTATGGTTTATCATTCGTAATATGTGTATATGTATGTATGTGTGTGTGTGTTTATATATATATATATATATATATATATATATATTATATTATATTATATTAATGTAGTAATGTAGTAATGTGTATATATATATATATATATATGTATATATATATATATATATATATATATATATATATATATGTATTAATGTAGATTTATATGCTATGCAAGTTTAATTGTAGCACTAGACGACCTCATTTCTTTGCATACGGATTCTATCGCAAGTAGTACTTGAATCAGTGACAAACAGAGAACTGATGAGAATTAATTTTTATTTATTTTATACCAATTTAATTGAAATTGAAAAGCAAAATATGGAAAAAATATTCTCAGTTAAATCATCCTCTTATAAATACATGATAATGCAATGATAAAGTATGTATTTGTAAAATATTTAATCTTGCTTACAGTAATTATATTTAATTTTGTTTATTTAATATCATTTAATATTATTTAATATTATTTAATATTATTTAATATTATTTAATATCATTTTCTCTTAAGTTATCGAAGCTTATAATTGAATAGTTGTACAATCGATGATTAAATGTAATATTTTTTCTTTTTTTTTCGATATTTTTCTTTCAAAATTCGAACGATTCTTTCGGAGAATTTTAGAGAGATATGTCAAATTTACAAAAGTCTTCGGATGTTTCTCAATTCATTGAATTCTTTCGTTTACATCAGAGCGCAGGTATTGCATCGCGCAGACTCCACCTTTGCAGCATCCAGACTATCCGAGAGATCTTCCCTCAGTGCCAAAAGTCCACACTTTGGAAGTGGAACGGAGAGATAAGAACCTATACTCGTGTGTATACTTGGCTGGTAAAATCATACAGTTTGCCTTTACTTTGATGATGATCTTAGAAATTTTCGAAAGATAAAGGACGAGCACCGCTCTGTCCTGTCTACTCCTGATCTCTTTAAAGTGGACGTGAGAGACAAGAGCTACTTTCCTGATGGCAGATCACGATAATATTTACGATGACGAGGTAATTAATTATCTAACATCAAGTACTTCCTTTTAATTACTTTCTCATTGCTTCGTTTTAATGATTGTCGGAGCCATTTAAAAGTAATGCCACCAAACTCTTGATAAGACAACAGACATTGGTAATTTTTAATAGTAACGATAGTGAGCTTCAAATATCTTTTATTATAGCAAAGTTACCAGAAGAGACATTTTAAGTAGTAGGAAAAATTTACGTTTTTATAATTAATATTACTCTTAAATTGATTTAATTTTTTATAGACAACCAACAATACGTGATATCATTTAATTTAACGTATAAATAATATGTAATATAGTAAACATATAAATGTTTTTTAATATTAACAGCTTGTATAAAAAATTCAATGGAGCTGATGAATGAAATCTCAAACGAAGGATCTAAATAAATTCGTTTCATTAGGTCACACTTCTTTTGATCTGTTAAAAAAGACATAAATATATAAATAAGTACATGTATATATCTATACATACAAATATGTCAAAAAATTTTATTAAGAAAAGATTTTTTTCTATTAATCAAATTGATCAACATTTACTATATTATTTAAACTTATATTATAAATGAATGATAATAATATTGATATCATATTGATATTATACTATTATGGATAATAATCATATCTTATTGATTTAACATATAATATAAAATAATTTAAATTATATTTTTATATTATTAAATTTTTTTAAAGAGAAATTTGAATTTTTATTTGATTTATTTGATTCAAATTTGGAATCTCATATACGAAAATAATTTTTCGAAAATTCTGTATCCCCTCTAATGACAGCAAGTATACATACATTTACGCGTGAATTGACTGACGTACAATTCTGTACTGGCCCTTCTTCTATCGATTAAGTTACAGCAGCTGACTAGCATACATACTAGACGCGACCGAAATCTAACTTCATATTTTTCTTTATGTACATTATAATATTCATATATGTATTATCTTTTCGAGAGATATGAATTGCGATCACTCCTGTTAGTACGTAAGCAATAAATCAATAAAGCAATAATTGCCTACCTCTTTCGTCTACTTCTATATTTAAAATTGACTATTTAATCAAAATTGCTCATCATTAAAATAATACTGTAAATAAGTGTATTATAATATTCGTTTTTGATTATTTCAAACAAAATATTATAAATATCATTGATTGTTATATACTTGTGTAAACTTTCATTTAATAATAGAAATATTAGTAAAAACCTTTGTCATAGGAGCTAGTGTCGGCTAATCCAAATCAAAGGAATTGGCGTGGGATTTTGATAGCTTTGCTCGTGATCGTTGCGGTTTTAGCTCTTATCGTCACGTCGGTCGCTCTACTCACACCACCTGATGAAGGGCCCAGAGTTCGTGGTACACGTTTACGACTCTCTGAGGTTGTATACATTCGTTTATATTCATAATCATATAGAAGAATTTAAATATAAATAAATAATTATTATTTTATAGGTTCTTTCCGGTGAATTATCTCCGTTGCTCTTTAATGGATCCTGGGTGAGCTCTCGTCATATTTGTTATAGAGATGTTTCAGGTGGTATTTCTTTATTGGATGCATCTGATACGAATTTAACGTCGCGCAGTTTGATGCCCAAAGAAACATTCGTAAGTTAATAAGAAACTAATATTTATAAGAAATTAATATATATATCTTTCCTCTTTATCGTTAAACATTTATATTACAGAGAAGATTGAATCCTGCCAAATTCTCATTATCACCGGACCACAAATATTTGCTACTTGCTCAGAATATGAAAAAATTATTTAGATATTCTTATTTAGCTCAATATACAGTCTATGACGTGAACACACAGTTAGTATGAGTTAT